AGTTTAGGCCGTCAGTATAAACCACAAAATTTATCTTTCAACTCGTTTTTTCCACCAAAATAATATTCTAATAAGAGCCTCCCATTTCCAATTTTGAGAGCGCCCTGGGCGCTTATTACGTCGAATACGGTATTCCAAATGACATGCATCAAAACATGGCATGAAAACAACTCTCTGTTTCTAGCTGTTTCACTCATATCTCTGAAATACGGTTGGAATATCTGTCTCCATGCTGACGTGCCCCCCTCCTCCCCAAGCCTCTCCTTAATACAATAAACATATTACCAACCCCGATCTTACACTGTGTCAATTGTCCATGACCACCCCCAAACCAATGCAATGAGAAAGGCACAATATGCTTACCAGTGACTGTATTCCTCTGAATACTGTAGATATTTTTATCAAATATCATTCATTTTAGCACGGGTGGCAACTTCAATAAAAGTTATTGGCTGTGATTGGCTTGTTGATTCCATATCAATCATCATCTTATAATGGGTTATTCAGAAACATTAGTATATTTTTTTTTTCCTAGCATGATTTAAAAAAATATTAAGGTTTTTTACAAACATTCCTGCATTATGACATTTTTCATCCCAATGAGAACATTTATTATAAATTAAACTTCCAAATGTATAAATGTGTAGTATGCTTATAAAACGTTAAAGTCACCTCTAACACACCACTGAATCAGGTTATGATAAAATATATTCTAAAACAACACTGAAACAGACAAAAATTTGAGAAATCTACTACCTTCTCTTAAACTAACAATTAAATCCAAAATTACTGAGTTGAGAGATGAGAGCTGCTTGACACCTAGTTCTACCTGGTGTATATAGGAGATATCTCCCAGAGGGTCTTAGGCTGGGTCACGACTGGACCAATTGGGCAGCACTTCAGATAAGGGTGAAGCTCAGCCAAACTCTGACATATCTGATGCTGTTAAGTGAGACTTCCATAGACTTTTTCTTGACTTATCAGTTTTAGAACCCTCCAATTGCTAAAGAAAATAAACAGCTGATAACAAGTTCCATGTTATCAGCTTGCATGTCAAACAGCTTACTACTCAGGATGTGGAATGACTCCCTTATATTTTGTTCTTTGGCACCCATGACTTCTGATTCTGAGTGTATCTGGACATCTTGTGTAGAATTTCTAGGCGGGGCACGAGAATTAATCTAAAGAATTTGTTTGCCTGATTTCCTCCCCTCACTGCACCTGGATACAACAATCTGGATCATTTTTTTCACTGATTAAATACTATTTCAGTAAACACACAGCATTAGAACATCTTGACCTACATATGACCTTGAAAGGATGGATGAAATAGCTGCCTGCAGTGGTAGTAATGTTTTAGCTGGATGTGTAGACTGACATCTAGTCTCTGAAATGAACATATCTTACAGAAAAGAACAGTTGTTAAATTATCTCAATAAAAATATAAAAAAGGAGCCCAGAGACTCTCTTTATTTTCAGATACTGCAGTAATAAGACTTGCCAAACATTATAGACTTGCATGGGCTGTATTGGATATATTTGTATGCGTAACAGGGATCCAGATCATATTTTGAGCCATAGAGTATTTACTAACATAGTTTTCTATAGGTACATTTTGTATTTAATGTAGTTTTACTTCACTGGGTCCAGTCTATTGGCTATTTTTACACCAATATATTTAATAATTCTGCCTAAAAAGCTGTCTTATGTTGACTCTAGACTAACATCTAGTCTTTGAAATGAACATACCTTACAGAAAAAACAGTTGTTGAATTACTGATATAAAATATAATAAAAAGGAGCCCAGAGACTTTCTTCATTTTCAGATACTGATACTGCAGTAATCTAGGCTTGCCAAACATTATAGATTTATTATGCATTATAGCTAAATTGGATATACCTTATTCGACGTATTAAGCGCCCGGGGTGCTCTCAAAATTGGAAATAGTGGGCTCTTATTAGAACATAATTTTGGTGAGAACAAAAACAGAGTTGAAAAATTGTAAAATTCGTACAGTAGTTTATGCTGACAGCCTGAAATGATACAAAAGAAAAGTATGTATCATACACGACAGATATATTTTCCAGAATTTAATTGCGCACAATTAAGGGTGCATATAACAAACGAGTGAGTATTATACACGAATCAATAAGTCTTGTGTACATTGATCAATCGGAAGGGGTGCTAATTGGGATTGTTCACTAGCAAATACATAAGCAAATATCGCCATGGGCGCTAATTAGAGCGGGGCGCTTATTACGTGGAATACGGTATTTGTTTTAAGGTCTGTATGACAGACTACACTGACTCCAACTCTGTACCTGTTCATGTGCTCTCCCAAAGGCGTAACCAGTTGTACAAACTCACAACAATCATAAAAATGTGTAATTAACATCAAACGAAACATAGAGCCTTTTCATGTATTATCACTGCAAATACTGTCCCATAGAGTTCCTGTATGCGTGATGCCTGCATTCAGTCAGTAAATAAAGATATGTGAAGAATTTAAACAGGATACAGTTTGTAATAACACAGGGTGGTTATAGTGGTCGGGTTCGTACATAAGCACCTCAAAATTAAATGGGTAATGGGGATTTATAGCATGAGGAAGAAATTTTCTGAAAATCACATGAACACTTTATATAATCAGATAAGGTAATAACAGGTCTTACTTGTGTAATTAAGAATTGATTTCTTGACATGCTATTTCCAGTGTTATATGCTCACAGTTGCGTCTTTGTGTTGGTAAAAATAATCAAAACCCATTGTATGCTTGCATTATGCGCATACCCCTCTACACAGCTGTGTATTTTTTTAAAATAATTGGCACTATACACAAGAAAATATTGTGCCCAAACAGTAGCACAAATTGTAAGTAAATGTCAAGGTCACTACAACCATCCAAATCCAAAAATATGAATTGTATGTGTCAGTATGCTGGATTTTACGAACTGAATTAAACCACAAACCAAATGACAAACAGACATATTTCTGGTGACATTCTTGTGTATGGAAACTCAGAGCTCAAGTAGAATAAATTAAGCGCGACATCATGTCAGACATTGTGATGTCATGACATCCGAACAGGCCGTCAAGACGCCTTGTACAGGTGTTCAGTGACCAGCCAATCAAATAGCAAGATTCTTTTAAGCGTATAATAATAATAGTTGTTCTGTCAAGCGAGACAAGGACGGCAACAATCATAACAATAGTGTGGTGTTTCTAGAATTACTCACTTCCTACATCACAAGCAGAATCAAAATATTTCATTGATTTATTTTTTGTTTAGATATGGCATTTTAAGATGAGAATAATTTGAGTCTGAGAAACCTGAGAGAAGCAAAATTCCAATTTTCCAGCAATATCATGTTTGGGGACACCAGAAATGGGCTTCACACATTGTACCACATGTATTTAGGTGGCATTTGTTGACGACACATCAACATTACTGCACACTGTTTCACAGTTCTGCACTGAGGAACACACAGTAAGGATACTGTTCAGGTTTATCAATATGTGATGGCTTCAGTATTGATTAGGGCTGGGACGGGTAACTCGGGTACTCGGGTCGGGTGGGTGCTGAGTAGGACCCGAGTACCAACAGGACTACCCGGGCCTGTGCTTAGCCACGTGATATATTGTTTCATGACAAAAATTCACTATATAACTACATGGTTCCACGATAATTTTAAGTCTCTATTGTTCGCATTTCTTTATGACTATGAACACATTCCTTCTGACTTATATATGTTTGAACAAAGCTAAAACTTCAGTCAACTTCAGTGTACGCAAGTCCACATCATTTTATACGTGTATCTAGATACATTTTGCCAGGGCTACTGTCAAACTATTCCCAATCGGACAGCCCTAGTATTGATATAGCATTAGGAGACAGTACAGCGCATGTGTTGAAACCTTGGAGACACTTCTAATCAGCAGTGAGTGTCTTTGTATTGATTGTTCAAATGTCATGTTCAGAAACACAATATCATCGACAGCTTTATGGGCTGGGATAAGTACCAGCTGAGGAACCTGCTACAGCTGATGGCTGCATAGCTATTTGACAAAAGCCCCCCAAAACACATATAATTTTCAAAGATTAAAAATACCATTTCGACCCCAATGTCAAAGGACACACCACCAAGCAGTATCACGCTTAAAGACACCCCACCATCAAAGGCACCTTAAATATAACAACACACCACTAACACCCATTGCCAAAGCGTGTATGTGGTTGTGTGTGAGTCGTGTGTGTGAGTCGTGTGTGTGAGTCGAGTCGTGTGTGTGAGTCGTGTGTGTGTGTGTGTGTGTGTGTGTGTGTGTGTGTGTGTGTGTGTGTGTGTGTGTGTGTGTGTGTGTGTGTGTGTGTGTGTGTGTGTGTGTGTGTGTGTACTTTGTGCGTGTACTTTGTGTGTGTTGTGTGTGTTCCTTTCCCTACTCGGCCAACCCCAACTGAACATGGAACCCATGCTTGGATTCAAACCTTGTTTTTTTCTGGGACAAGAAAACACAGGAGCAATGTCACCCCCTTCTGGAACCATGGGCAGCCAAGTGGTCAATGACCAGGACTGCACAGTATTACAGGTACATTGGTATGGCGGATCTGCCTGTTCAATCAGTGCCAATCAATGTCAAACACTTTGGCTCCCGATATATCGCAATACAGATTACAATACAGATACCCGTACTGCATTATATTGCAATACATCTTTTTCCCAATACACAGCACTATCAAAGACACTTCATTTCATTCAGCAAAGTTGTGTCCCTTAGCTCTGCCAGGATCCAATGATTGCGGGTTTGAATCTAAATTCATTCTGATAATGATCTTCAGTAGAGCATCCCACCCATGTTAAACTTCTACGACCTTTGTCAATTTCCTTTTACTATAAGCACACACAATGTGATACAAAATGAAAACTGTTCAAAGAGGCTCTCTCATTCACTCACCCCATTACAATCACTGAAAATAATGGGAAGACAAATAAATAAGACTCACCACAGAACCTTCTCCCTGGCAAACTTCCACTCGGGTAGTTTTCCCGTCCGCTTCACCACCAGCTTAAGGCGGTCGGTGACGGTCAACACCCTCACCGCGCTGCTGCAAGCCGCGTTCTCAAGGCTGATATTGTTTGCCTCTAGAATCTGGTCACCAACTTCTAAACCAGAGGCAGCTGAAAAGTAAATTATTTAACTTAATATGCATGTTACAATCATAACTGATCTAACATTTACTGGGGGCCTTGGTGGCCCAGTCGTCTAATGTCGCAATTTGCTGTACAGAGTTGTGTCCCTTGGGCATGCCAGAAACCTATGATTGTGGGTACGAATCCTGCTTAGCCCTGATTATGTTTCTAGGTTTGTCAGCACCATACCCGTGCTTATGGGTTTCATCGAAGTGGTTAACGTCATAAGACCTGCATCACTTCGGGCTTTCCACCCACATTATGCTGACACGCCGCGATATAACTGGAATACTGTTCAAAGTGGAGTTAAACCCAACTCACTCACTCACTCTGAGTAAATAACACACTAGAAGAATGAAGTGCATGTCAACCTGAGAAGTGATTATTACTAAGTTTGGAGCAAGCAAACCAGTGTCTGAAAGTGACCATTTCCTGATCAGAGTTTAGTCTCTGAAATGAAAATATTTGACAGAAAAAAACTCTTTTTAAATTATCGTTATGAAATATAATATAAAGGAACCAAGAGATTTTCTTCATCCTGTAACTACGGTAATCTAGTCTTGGTCTGTATCGGATGTATTTGTTTGAGGATCTGTACAGCAGACTTAGATGAGTAAGTGAATGTTTTGATCCACAGTCAGCAATGTTCTAACTATTAGACTGATGTCTTGGCCAGACAAACCAGTGGTGAACAGTGAATGGTGCCCATGACAAATGACAATTCAACAACCAGGCCACACTTTGTTGTCAACCAATTCTTGTTTTTGTTGACTCGTATGACTACCAGTTACCGGTAGTTTGCTCCGGTATCCCCACAGAATTCATGAGCAGAGTATCAGAATCAGTTAAATTGAATTAATTGGACCTGGAAAATCTACAGAATTATGTTCCTCTATAATAGGATTTGAAAACGGCCAGCCAAGTGTCTTATTGTTACACGTACACAAAAGCAAATCCTTAGGGTTTGAATTGTCGCAAATATATTTCCATAGCCACGTGTAAACAAAATGGCCATGTCCTCTACATGATAAACCCAATCCAACGGAACGGCATCAGCGGTGCCTTGTGTGACAGATGCAGAGGTGGGGCAAGGAATAATGTCGCATTCCAGATAATTGCACAAATATAGTGATGAGCATGTGTAAGAGTGAATATTATCCTACCCTATTTTTTATCCCGGGGATGAAATTCTCTAGTGAGTGAGTGAGTGAGTATGGTTTTACGCCGCTTTTAGCATTATTCCAGCAATACCACGACGGGGGACACCAGGAATGGGCTTCACACATTGAATCGAACCCGGGTCTTCGGTGTGACGAGTGAACGCTTTAACCACTAGGCTACCCGACCCCCCCTGAAATTCTCTAGTGTCAGGATGATTCTCCCTTGTGAATTTGAACCCATACCAGTGTGGCACTAAGGTAGGATACTATACTCTAGAGTAAAACTTCCCCCGGGGTAATATTTAGGTAGGATATAATCCTTGCTCATCCATGCACCTGTGTGCCTGTGTGTGTGGCTGCCAATACTTGTCCTGACTAATGCCAGTTCAAGAGAGCTAGCGCAAGTATACTGACTCTGACCTGACAAGTCCGTCTTTTATCCTCTTAATGCTGAGCACCGTCCTTCCACTCTCTGGGCGGGCACTCTATCAGCTAGACCATGGAGTGGAATCTGTGAGGGTGTGAGACCCAATCCATATCAGCATACCGAACATTGACACATGTATGTAGCAGGGCGTGGAGTCATCCCACGGATAACATCCTTACCTTGTCAGCTTGCTGACGGGGTTAACCTCTTTGGTCATGTGGACAAGGCGTCCGACCTCGGATCAGAAGGTCCGTGGTTCGAATCCCATCACGGGAATTTTATGGTCGCTACATTGGCGCCCAACGTGGGGCTGAGCAGGTTCATATTAAAATTGAGCAAAATAAGCCTCAGTACCCTACTATGCGGCCCGGGACATGCCTTCTGTTGATGGGGGAGTATGTAGCAGGGCGTGGAGTCATCCCATGGATGACATCCTTACCTTGCCAGCTTGCTGACGGGGTTAACCTCTTTGGTCATGTGGACAAGGCGTACGACCTCTGCTCAGAAGGTCCGTCGTTCGAATCCCATCACGGGACTCGGAAATTTTATGGCCGCTACATGTACACAACTGTTATAAGTAATGGTATCAACTAAGTGTAAATGTATTACAACAAAATATTACTAAATTATATGGGGAGATATTTTTCAACAAAGAACAGGAATACCAAACACACCTTTAAGTAAACATAAAATGCACCCCTCCTTTCTAAAGAAGTTCTATCTGTTAAAGTCTTCCTGGTTTCACACTTACTGTTCGGTGGATCTCCTCCAAGGGTGGAAGCTAAACAAAACAGCCACTTTTTCACAAAACTGTGCTTTGTACTGGTACTGTGAGATATTTCCACAACATTCAGCACAGAACTAAAGATGAGACTCCAAGTTCCTTGTCACAGCCTTGCCGTCAACTTAAATTATATAGCGGCCATATGTGGATCAATCCCAGAGTTCAGTACAAGGGCTGCTTCGTATGGCTTGCTGGTTTGAATCCAGATAACACACATGATTCCTGGTACAGTCAAACCCTGTCCATCTGGGCAATTAGCACATTTTGGAAAATCAAATTTCAAGATCAACAAATCATGTTTTAGAATATGGTCTACTTAATAATATATATACTATATAGCGTTCCCGAAACGATCATTCCAACAGAGCGGTTTCCAGAAGAAAAGGTCCTTACTGTAACCCAGAGGTCCTGGGCTTATCCCCCGAACACCAGTTGACGACAGACAGCTGACCAACAAATGCAACCGAAGTCGTTCAATCCACGACTGGGGTAAACAGGCCCAACTGAAACGTCCTGGATTAAAAACCGATCTCCCCTCAAGCATGTATTCATAAACTATTAATAAGAATAGAATGCATTCAAACAACTGCCTTTACGCCGCTGAATACCCGAGTTGAGATCTGATACGGTAATGACAGTGCCCCTCACATAATGGTGTTCACTAGACCACACTTCTTCCCATGTCATCACTGACAGTGAACAGTACAGTAGAATTACGTACTACCTGATACTCACCTGATCCGTTACGCTGACACACACAGAGATAGATGGTTAATGATGCATGCTGTATACTCTCAAAGCTATTCTTCGGCTCATTAAAGGCTTAGGATCAGTAGATCCACTTATAATTTCTAGCCGTTTGGATTTGTGAGCAGTATTTCAGCTGTAGGGCAATTGTCATAGAGATCTTCTCCTGACTGTGTTTGACTTACTCTGAACGGCAACCTCATCCATTGTTCCGCACCACTGACCGTGTCTGTGGAATCTCTCTAAGCTCTCTATATTTTGTCCTTTACATATTTGAGAGGTTATCAGGGCATCTGGGCCCAGGAATACTGCCCCCAAGAACTGGCCCCAAACTACACATTACTCAAAAGATAGACCACCCGATTCCTGCATATAACTATAGTTATTCTCTCATGGCGTGACATTAATTATAGGAATATGAAGGAATCAGATGGTCCTAACTTCTTTGGAGTAATTTCATATATCATGTTAACCTATAAACAACATTTAACAGAATCATTTGGTGACAAGTTTTCAACAATAAAAATGTTTTTACTGATTTTGTTTTCCAAATGAATTATTTACATTCATCTGGCATTGTTTAAATTTCAATGCCCCCTTCCTACACTTTTCAAACAAGCTTTTCACCACCCCACCTTTTAAAAATAGCTGTATCTGCACTTGCAATATATTCATATTTCTTGTCACATCTAAATATTGACATTTGTTTCCAAATATCATCTTTATTAACCTATTGCCATGTTTGCCTATAGTATTGTAGGTTAATCATGCTTTCTCACAATAACCGTGAGAGAGGTACGACTTTCAAGTGAGACCTGCTGAGAGGTTTTACATTTGAACTATAAGACCTGCTAGGATGTTTTACAGTTCAATTGTATAAACAGCCTGTTGATATGGATTTATTGTTGAGTTTTGACTGGTTAAAAGTGACAATTATTTCTTCATGACAATTTCATGACATGAATCGAACCTGCAGCCTCAGATATCATGTTCAGAATGTAACCCACTTTTTTATCACTGAGCCCCCGGGGCAGGTGATGAAAGGGTGTTCAATCTTACATGTAAAGACTTCAGTTGTCTGCATGCTGCACATGATCTGTCTCTTGCCTGCTGTCACCAAATTTGTATTATAATGCGACAACTGTATTGCCTTTACAATAAAGTATCCTGTTTTCTTATTTTTATCTGGTACTTCTTGCATTTAGACTGTTCATAAGTTAGTTAAATCACTTTCTTGACCCACCCAGTGATCCACTACTGTTCTTTGTCACATGTTTTAGTTAAAAGATGCCTCAAGGTTTGGGTTGAAAATGTAAAACCTCGAGCTCAGCTAATATTATATTATATGATTAGGTTATACATTTTTAACCAAAACCTTGGAGTCGTTGTTTAACTTCAAAATAAGCCAAAGAACACCTGTGATATGTTGTTAACAGTCAGGCTTTGATTTGACAAACAATAAAACACATATGTCATTGATCACTGGGTGGTTCAATACGACGTATAGCTTACCGCTGCTGAAACTAAAGATTATATAGTGTCGTATTGCTGGATACAGAGAGTTAATCTTGCGTTAAATAGTAAAGATAGACTCAATGCAGTGATTGTTTATAGAAAACATCACAATGTTGTAGCTGATGATATTTGGGTTAAGTTTGGATGCTGCTGTTGTATAATTCTAATTATCATCTCACCTTGCACAAAAATCGTATTTCATGAATATAGTTCACCAGGTTTAAATATCCTTGGATGTATCCATATTATCATCCTATGATTCACGGATAAAAACCTCAGTTGTTGAAGCAAAAATAATTTATGATGCTTGACTATGACTTTCTTGGTCTCACTCACACAAAGCAATACCTGTCCG